TTCAAAATTGTTGAGAGTGAATTGCTTCCTAAGATCAAGAGCTGGATTCCCATCGCAGAAGGCCTTCCAAATACATGCCAAGGGCAGCAGAAGCATCTCTACTCTCCTGGATCCCCCACGGAGCCCACGAAGACAGCGCCCTGCGAGCGCCGACATTGAGCGGCCTCGGCGGCGATGGTACTCCGACACTGACCGAAATGGCAACATCTCCGGCGTCTCGGGATGCCTTTCAGCCGGTTTGCACGTGGTCTTCGTGTTGCTTCAACAGTCAAAGAGTGAGTCACAAACTGAAAACCTGGCATTGAGATGGTCCACTCAAATCTATGGGAGTGTCCCTTACCCTCCAATTGCCCGGGCTTTCATCATGACTCAACTGAGTCATAATCAAAACCCGGTATCAAAATGGTCTACCCAGAACCACGCAAAGGATTAGGAAGGCGGATATCTGCAGCTATTTATGGTTGGGATTGTCCCTTACAAACGTTCATCTACCCGGATTTTCATCCTGACTCAACTGATGACTTGTTGACTTTTCCCGGTCCCTCCCTCTTGCCTCAAGGCAGGAAGCCAGGCCATGGCCATGATCACATCTTGCAAGGAAGCCCTCGAAGTTGCTGATGTCCAGGTGCTGGGTTATTGTCTGTATATATGTAATTATAGATATATATGTATACATCAGCTGTGTGTGTGTGTGTGTCTGTGTGTATGTCTGTGTGTGGGCGTGTGGCTGCGTTTCGCATGCTTCTTTGTTTCTTTCTCTTTCCATGTTTCGCATGTTCGCTGGCACACAAATCCTAAGGCCGTCAATTTCCTCTGCCCGGCAAGCCTTGAGGGAAACGGCAGATGCATTCGCCCGGCGGATTCCAGGCTTTTGCATTGCAAGGTGCCTCCCATGAGGTAGAAGCAATGGTTCCACACCACGACGGCATGTCCAGTTCGAGGGGTGTACACCTGCCAGGACCCGACAGACCCGCCGAAACGCGCAACGAACTCCGAAACTCGGGTCCGCCTGCCCCTGCTGTCCATCAATGCGAGTCCAGCCTCAAGAGCTCTTCACCAGCGACCGAACTGCAAACGAAGATTTCAGACCAAATGAGTAAAGCAGGTCTAGACGACGGATGGCCCAAAAGCATTTAGCCACGCGACGCTGTTTTTTCATCCGAAGCATGAAGCAAGCCACCAAGCTTATCACAAGAGTGTGCGGGCGCCGCATAGACAGGACACGGCATGATGGTGGCGAAGCTTTCTCTGTGCAAGCTCTCCGTGCAAGATTCTGGTTTCGGGAAGCAAGGTGCCAGGGGAATAGTATGGAAGAGTCCCAAAATCCTGCAGACAATCCCAAGAGCTCTGAAACATCCTACAGCCAAAACCGTTTTCCTCATGGCACCTTCTGGCCTTCGGGGTCTTCGTTGCCCCAATCAGTGCGCTGAGACCTCAGTGCCAGGCACCACAAGTCCTCTGGCATCAGCGTCTGAGCTGCGTCCTCGCAAAGCACGAGACATCCAACCCATGGCTTCGCTGGAAATTGGCCAAGCACCAGGCAAAAAAACAAGCCGACCAACCAACCAAGCAAGCAAGCAAGCAAACAAAGCAAGCAAGCAAGCAAGCAAGCAAGCAAACAAACAAACAAACAAACAAACAAACAAGTAAACAAAAACAAAAACAAAAAAACAAAACATTCAGGACTCATGGATCTCACTGGCACATCCAACGAAATCGAACACCAAGGACCCGCTTCCACCAGCTCCGGTCCTGGGCATCCCCCACCGCCCCGCTGAGCGCGTCGGGCCGGGAGGAGCCCACCGGCACCGGCGGGCTGCTGGACGCCTCCGACTCTCCGACTCTCAGACTTCCAAAAGGACTCTGGGAACGGGAGCCCACAAAGGAACGGGAACGGGAAAAGAACCTCAAATGAAAGAAATGGGTTTAGGGTTTAGGGTTTGAAACAAAGGAAAGGAATGAAAGCAAGTCGCGAGATAACTTGGTGCGAGTAGGGAATGACACTTGGTGCGACAGCAACTTCCTTCTCAGACTCCTTATAAGACTCTGCATGAGTCTCCTAATAAGCATGCGAGTAGGGAATGACACTTGGTGCGATAGCAACTTCCTTAGGCTCCTTTTCTCAAGCTCTGCATGAGTCTCCTTATAAGCATGCTTCCGGAGGAACCTGGTGCGATAGGTAGCAAATGACCGAGACAGGGTGTTGGGAATGAACCTGGGGATTTGGGAAAACCTGCTGGTGCGATATGACCCCAGGACAGGGTTTTGGGATTTCCTTGGGATCTGACCCAAGCTGCTAGGAATCAACCGGTCTTGGGATGACTTAAAAAGGAAACCGCCAGCTGGATGGTTTTTTGTAGGGGTGATGTCACTTCCTCATTCTCTGAGAAACAGTAAGATAGTCCCCTTTCAGAAACCTACATGACCTGAGAAACTAAATCCCTTTCCCATATTCGGCCTGATCAGCGAGCTGCTTCTGACAGCGCTGCAACTCCGGCTTCGTGCGCAGCACGATGCGGTACCTCGCCCCATCGGAGCATCAACGCGCCAGGTCTCATGCGGCAAGGGTATGCTGAACTCGTGTGTTCCCCCCCCTGGGTTGTGAACAATTTGTGTATGTGTTTTCAATGCACAAATTGATCACAAACAACTGGAATTGTTGGCCGAACCTCAACAAAAGCATGTCTGACAAATCTGCTGTCAGGAGACATTGGCCCATTCTTGGGGCAGTAGTACAAACAGGTATTTGTACTCTTTGGATTCAGAGTTCAATGGAAAGCTCAAAAAAAGGCCCTCTGCAAATTGACGTGCTTCAGGTAATGCACGATCGCCGAGTGGTCATAACCATCATTCGCAGGAGTCCAATACACTGTTGACCATTGCGCGGGCACATGTCGTTCAAGCGCCGCCCATCAAAGCCACCAAGAATGTACATAGTTCCCTGCCAGTCGAGGCTGACCACACAGTTGGTTGCATTTGATCTAAGACTCGCCTCATGGACAACCGTCTTGTGGAAAGTCCTTGCCGAAGGTTGTACAGACATCGTCGCGACCTGCGAGCAGCAGTTTTGGTTGAGCTCGATTTAGGAATACTTTTGTGAGGAATGGAGATGTTATCAGGTCCGCCACCTGTTTTCGTTGGCAAACCCATACGGCTGGCTCCAGCACAGCGCACAGGCTCGCATGCACAAGCCAGCCTTAAGCCAGTGCCGATGCGTGAAGTTGTACCTGGACGCCAATCTTGGAGTTTTTGGGGATGCAACAATTTACGGCAAGCTACGCCTTGACTTCTAGGCCAGTGAGGCTGCCAACAAATATGGAGCATGCATAACATGGCGCACTCATGCAGATCGGGGAAGCGGTACTGGGTTTTGTCGACGCCGCCAAAGGTGAACATCTGCAGCGTGCGTCATCACAGGCCGGACATCCGACAAACTCAGGCCACCGCCGCATCGCCACACACCACAGCCGTATGACGATAGCGAGCCTTGCAGCGCTCCAAAACCACCGCATGCTCCGCATGCTCGGGGCCCCCGGCTCTTGGGGCAGTTCCGCGCAGCGGCAGCCTCGGCTGAAGCGTGGGCAAAAAGCTGGAAGCCAAGTCCTGTTCTCAAATCCAACGGTTGCCCTCCACGCAAGAAGCCCACAACTCTTCCTCCAAGCCAATGCAGTTAACAGAGTTTTTAACCGCGGAACAATCCTTTTTTCTCGGCCAAAACGCGAAATCCACATGTTGGACGAGATGTTGTACTCGAAAAGCTCCTCGCGTCAGGTCAAAACAAAGGTTTGCTTCAAACCGCTTCAAAACGTCACCTGGCCTGCAGAGTGTCGTGGCCATCCCAGCCGCCGAAAATGTACATGGAATGTCCATAGATGACGGCCTCGAACGCAATCTCTCGTCTCTCCGAATCACCTGCGCCCTATGGCATGGCAATCCGAGCCGTTCTTGCTACACCCATGCTGCCCGCTAGAAGCTTGGAGCAATGTCCTATCTTTGTCCAACCCTTGCAACCGACAAAGATACTCGCCACATCCTTGGAGCTGCACTGTATGCCCAAAGCGATTCCGGGGGACTTGGCTGCGCACCTCGGACTCGGACCACTCAGACCATCCACTCAGGACTCAAAAAAAAACCATCGGACCCTTTTGGAGACCATCCACCCGACTCCAAAAAGCGGCAGCTTTCGGAGCCCTCGTTGAGCCCTCGACACTCACCTGGCTCCAGCGCTTGTCCTTGAGGTGCAGCTCCCGCAGGTCGTTGAACCTGCGGACTCGAAATCGCCGCCGAGCTGCGCCGAGGGCATTCCGGCGCCTGTTGTGGCCATCGAAGCCGCCAAAGACTAGCAGCGAATCGCGGAAGAGGACCACGCTGTGATCTGTTCGCTTGGACGGGGCTTCCCCCAAAGTGTGCACCTCGGGCACATGCACCACGTCACAAAAGCAAGGTAGACATGCTGGCTCCTTTCTGATGCATACAATCACCGCAGCCACGCGTCATATTCTATGGCATGCATCATGTCACATTCCAGTGACATGTCAATCCGACCTAGTGTTGCCCTTTTTTTCCATTGTCGAATGGAAAGATCCGTCACTGAGGACCGATCCATACAGAGCTCTCAACAGATCGATCCTGGAATAGGGGGTTACACACAGGCCCTCGTTTCAGAACTTGCTGAGAACTGTAAAAGCACAGAGAGCACTAGACAAATCTCTCCAGCATGGTCTCGAGTTGAGCCACGCGTGAATTCAAAAGGGCACCTGCGCCAAATGCCGGTTCTTTAGTCACAAGATAGACCGACAGGGACTGGCGTGCCTTGCTATGCATGCGCCACAGGGCCATGTAGACATGTCCGACACTAGACACATCCCCATGCATTGTCTCAAGTTGAGCCACGACGAATTCAAAAGGGCACCTGCGCAAAATGCCGGTTCTTTAGCCACAAGATAGACCGACAGGCACTGGCGTGCCTTGCTATAGATGCACCATGGGGCCATCCAGACATGTCTGTTCTGTTGCAAGGGCAACCCTAGTCACCTCGTCCCTTGCCTCCACTGGGTGGGCGGAAGTGCAAACACACTGAGCCAGCGCTGCTTTCGGTGGAGTCCACGGAACGCCACAGAGTGCAAAGGCCTCCCGTGAGCTCCACCCCGCGGCATCGTCGACTCTCTGCACATGCTTCTTGACAGTCTTGGATGTTCTCAACGTCCAGCACCCGCTCATCGTCCCCGACACAGGAGCGGTCAATGCCCCCATCTGCAAGGCGGAAGCCTCGCAGCAACTCCACAGCGCGGGTTTCAGTCAAGGTGGTTGTAGCACTGCTTCCCTGGGTGGTGGTTGCGCCTTGTGTGGTTGTTGTACCCTGCGTGGTGGCAGCCGTAGTGGTTGCAGCCGTAGTGGCTGTGGTGGTCGTTGTGGTCGTTGTGGTCGTTGTGGTCGTTGTGGTCGTTGTGGCAATGGTCGTGGTCGTTGTGGCAATGGTTGTGGTGGTCGTCGTTGCAGCTGTGCAATCTCCCAAGGACCGCAGCTGTCCTTCAGCACCTCTTTCGGTGGCTCGATGCCAAGCACGATCGAATGCCTCGATCCAGGCTGCCTCATTTGCAGCAAAATCGAGAACTGCCTGTGCCGCAGGGCCGATGGGGTCGTTGCGATTGCCGCAGTCGTTCTGCTGCGCGCCGCAGCACTGACCACGCTCGCCGCGACCAGCGTTGCCTCCACAGTACTCGCCGCCGTTGCTGGCAACAGCGCCTGGAATGGTGTCTGAAGTCAGCCAGGCGCAACAGTCGTGCTCGCTGGCAATGACGGGACCCCCGTTCTGTCCATTCTCACTGTAAACAAGGCAAAGGTCAGTGTTGAGCATCATTTCGTGACCATCAAAGGTGTTGTCGGCTCCTTCGTCACTACGCTGCCACTGATTCTTGCCCGCATTTCCGTTAATCGCCAGTTCAGGAATCCAACCCTTAGCCAGCAAGGAGACATAATAGTCATTGTTGAAACGTCTAGAATTCACGGGATCGCTCCACCAGCCATGGTATCCGGAGTTACCAATGTGAGCACGGCCTAAGGTGTGAACTCCCATCAAAGCAGCTGCTTCTGTCCAGTCCAATCCGAGATTGTTCACAAAGACTTGCTCCACCGCTGCACATCCGTCCTCTGGGCTTGGCAAGCTTCCTGTCACTGAGGTGCATGGTGAGGTGGTTCGGCCAAAGCGAAATGAGTTGCGGAGGTTGAGTTGAGGTGCACCCGGCGTGGCTTGCTCATGACGCGCACGGGTGGATGCAATGACTGCCTCTGCAGCGATCACAAGGAAATCCGCCAGCGAAACCTCCGTGCAAAAGCTGTGGTACACCTCCAGGAGTGAGATGCCATGCTCTCCATTGACCAGGCAATCAAGCAAACCGGCATTGTCAGGGTCGCTCATGTCCGTGCAAGCGTCTGCACCACCTTGACCATTGGCAAAGTCCATGAAGTCATGACCGGCCATGCGCAAAATGCACCCGGCCCAGTCTGCCTGAGGGCAATCTGCGGCCGTGCACGTAGTGGGCAATGACTCTAAATGGCCACGAACAGCAGCGATCATGGCATCATATTGCGCCTGGGTCATGCACTCCGTGACTTGTACAGCACCTCCGGGGCAAGACATGAGTTGAGCCGGGGGTTGGTTGCCATCAGATGTTGCTTGGCTGCGGCGGCTGTGTTGCTGCAAGAGCCAGGGACCGCTAGTCCGAGTCTTGCAATCTGAAGCGCTTGCAAGTGCAAGCCCAACGCACAGAGTTGCCGCAAACATGACGCAACAGGCTCGCAGGGCTAACTTGGATCACCAAACTGGCTTGAGCCAAAAACGCAATGTTCCCTTTGCTGCTAATGCCATTGCTATTTCTGGCGCCCAGTGCTCAATCCAGCTGTTGCTTGGGAATGATGCATGATTTCTCCAGACAATGGAGAAATCAAGCAGAGGCCGGAACCAAGCATGCTTGCAAATAGTAAGTCGCACACTGAGCCCCACATACTCGTGGCAATTTCGTACTTGTACACATCATTGAAGTAGTCCCCGTCCTGCAAAAGCAAGCACACACACACACACACACACACACACACGTCTGCTGCTGAGTAATTCTTCGTTGCTGGTGATTTGGATCCAAGCACCCGACCGACTCGGCAAGGGCTTCAGCTGATCAAATGGCAAGGACATCCAGGCTGGTGACTTACCCAATGCACTGAGGCACCCGACGTCACGGCCAGTCTCCCCCAAAGCGCTCTTTTCAATCGAATCCGCTGAGAGGACATGTGCCATGCGACCAGCGCGGCCCGCGCCAGGCTACCACCGCCTCAAAGGCAGGGGTTCAGAGGTGGGAAATCCTATGGACCGGTTGGACCTTGATGGGAAACCAAAAGGACAAGCTTTGCACCAGCGGATCAGCCCCTCATTTTCAGGCACGGAGGTGCGAGATAGTTTGGTGCGAAAGAGGAACTTTGCCTCGATGGCGCCTGGCAACCCGAAAGGGTGTCGGATCTGGGGCGAGCACTGGCCAGCCCCTCCGGGAATCCATGTCCGCGCCACTTCTGAGCAGCCTGGACCACAGGCTGCGCAGCATGGCGCCAAACGACGCCTCAGCTCGTCGAATGAACAAGGATCCTCGGGACTTTGCCAGGACATCACAGGCCAAGCAGGCTTGCCTCCAATACCAAATGAGTCTCTTAGGAGCAAATGAGCTTTTTACAAAGTTCAGCTTCTCATGCTCCACTGCTCCCAACCAGCCTTTTCTGGGCAACAGGCGCTGAACTGAGGAGCTGCAGGAATGCTGCTCCAGCCTCACAGCCGCCGCGAAATCGAAGGCTCGTTGAAGCTGCCGGTCTGCTTGAGCACACTGCGCTCCCCAACGTAGCCACGTGTATGGTATACTTTTGGGGGAAGTGGGAAGCGCGATGTCCCCACCCCACCCCCCGAAAACAAATCAACCGTTGGCTATGGTCATCGGGCGGTTCCCAGCGTCATCGCGCGTTCGCACAGCTCTTAGCCTCTGACAGCGCAAAGGCTATGAGCTGCTCCTCCAGCCTCTAATGGGCGATGCGTGCAATGTAGACCGCCCAACCACAAACACCACGCTGCCGACCAAGCTGGTTATAAGAACAATATAGGTGACAGCAAGTAGAAGAACCACCCACTAAAATGACTGTGGGTCAAAACCCAGGAAACCCCTGGTGAACATCAAAATAGGTACAAATGGATGTTCATCCACCCCATGGAGCCATAAGTTATGCAACCCATGGCCAAATAACCAACGTCTTTTCTCCGGCGCTCCTTTGAGCGTGCCTCGCTACGTCGCGTGCCTGCCAGGCAGGGCCTCGGCACCGGAAGAGAAAAAAAGATCCTGCGGCCCGAAACTCACAGCCGGAGGATGCGAATGGGTATGTCTAAAATTGAAGGGGGGGGAGGGGGGTAAGTCCTGGCAGCAGAACAGTCCAAGCTTGGCTTGAAACATAGTGCAAAGCTTCGCTCCGGGCCTCACTTCAATCCCTTACTTTGCTCAAGGAAATCGCGCGACCGTGGGAAAAATGGTGTCTGGCCGCTTGAGGCCCATCGTCTGCATGGGGCTGTGCTCAATCTCTTGTATCGCAGCAATGCAACGACACCTTGGATCTCCCAGGTCAGGATTGTGCTGGGGAAAAAATGAAAAGAAGAAAAAGAAACCGGTGGCCGATGAAAGAGTAAGAGACTGCGGTTTGACGGCAGAGTGGTCGGCGAAGCGTCCAGTGCGACTGGCGCCAATTGTTCAGCCCTCTGCCTGCTACGATCCCAGGCAAGCAAAGCAATGAAGAGGTTCGGCGCGCACGTATACGATGCTCAAGGCACTTTGGTTATATCAAACAGATGTTTTTCAGCCAAAGCATCTGTACCGGAATAACCTGCCACGGGTGAAAAATCAACATACAGTGCTTGGAAGCCTTCTATTTCGCACACAACTTGAATTCTGAGCTCTTGATCCCCCACCTGCAGGCCACCAATGCCCAACCAGCACTCTGGGCCTCGCGCCAGAGGCCAGGCTCCGTAGCAAAGGCCACAGAACCGGACTCCGCTCCTGGCATTCGAAATGGCCATGGGTCAAAATCCAAATCGGTCAGCCCCCCAGTGAACATCCCAATCCCAAAAAACAAAACGACTAAAATGGGTGGTGAATTCACCTACCCCAAAATGGGATCCCATTGGTTTTAACCCACAGCCAAATGGCCAAGGCGTGTCTCGAGAGTCGGAATCCCTGTGGAAGGGCAACCCCGTTTTCTTGCTCTGCCCAGAAATGTTGAGCCAAAAGCTTTGTTGAAGCCACAATGCATTGTATGCATTGGTTCAGCCGCGGTGATGCTTTGTGAAACCCTCGAGGTTGTTGTGGATTGGCATAAGAATGGATTCTCTGACACGTTTGCACGTGCGCCACCAATGTGGCCTAGGAGAGCACATTGCTTGGTTGGAGCCAATGCCCTAAGTGAATACTCTCATTCTCTGCGGATCATCCCAGCAAGCCTCCTTGCTTTCCAGAGTCGTTGACTTCTGCTTCCGAAAGATTGCAGGCTGTTGAAACCTGTGTTGCTTCCTACAAAAACAGCTTCAATTCCCCTACTGTTGAATGTTGGATCTATCTTTGCGCAAGCTGCTGATGGTGTCTCTGTTTCTGTTGGGTTAGCTTGCTTCATGCTGATCTTGCGAAACTGAAGCAAGTGCTGCGAGTGGCCTCCGGGATGATGCCAACCTTTGCACATTGGATATCAAAAGCAACTTCTGCCAGGAACGTATTATTGGATGAATTGGGTAATCACTAAGCAACCGATGCGTTGCTCTTGCTGGGCGTCCCCCTTCTTGTTCCCAGAAGTTGTCATGAATAAGGGCGAGGTGTGTCTCACAAACCAGGCACAAACATGTAAACGTACGTATGCGCGCAATCGTATGTATGTCAACACGCATCCCTGGATGCATGGATGTATGGACGTCTGGATGCGCGGACAGGCGTATGGACGGAAGGGGGGAAGGAAGGAAGGAAGGAAGGAAGGAAGGAAGGAAGGAAGGAAGGAAGGAAGGAAGGAAGGAAGGAAGGAAGGAAGGAAGGAAGGAAGGAAGGCAGGCAGGCAGGCAGGCAGGGAGGAAGGAAGGAAGTTGGAAGGAAGGATGGATGGAAGAATGGAAAGGATGGATAGGATGAAAAGATGGAAGGATGCAAGGATGGGTGGATGGTGTGGGTGGGTGGGTGGGTGGGTGGGTGGGTGGTGGGTGGGTGGGTGGGTGGGTGGGTGGGTGGGTGGTGGGTGGGTGGGTGGGTGGGTGGGTGGGTGGTGTGGGTGGGTGGGTGGGTGGGTGGGTGGGTGGGTGGGTGGTGGGTTGGTGGGTGGGTGGGAGGGTGGGTGGGTGGGTGGGTGGGTGGGTGGGTGGGTGGGTGGGTGGGTGGGTGGGTGGTGTGGGGTGGTTTGGGTGGGTGGTGTGGGTGGGGGTGGGTGGGGTGGGTGGGTGGGTGGGTGGGTGGTGGGGTGGGTGGGTGGGTGGGAGGGTGGGTGGGTGGGTGGGTGGGTGGGTGGGGTGGGGTGGGTGGGTGGGTGGGGTGGGGTGGGTGGGTGGGGTGGGGTGGGTGGGGTGGGTGTGGGGTGGTGGGTGGGGTGGGTGGTGGTGGGTGGGTGGGTGGGTGGGTGGGTGGGTGGGTGGGTGGGTGGGTGGGTGGGTGGGGGTGGGTGGGTGGGTGGGTGGGTGGGTGGGTGGGTGGGTGGGTGGGTGGGTGGGTGGGTGGGTGGGTGGGTGGGTCGGTGGGTGAGTGAATGGGTGGGTGGATGGATGGACGGACGGATGGATGGATGGATGGACCAATTCATAGATGGGAGCCAGTAGCATATATGCTTGCAAAACCAGGACCACGCTGGCGCGTCCGATCTTGGTCAAGCATGTCCTGCCAATACAAGGAGTTCTGGTGGGATAGTATAATAGGTATGTTCAGGTGTTTAAACCTACGCACTTTGGGAAGGAAATGTCAAGGCCTGGGCTGGCCAGACTAGCCAAACCTTCCATCTTTGCGCTTCCGTGCCTTGGGGCTAGCTCCAGTGCCAGCAAAAACTCGGACCAAAAAATGGCGCCGCGCGCTCATATGGCCATGGGTTGCATAACCTATGGCTCCATGGGGTGGATGAACATCCATTTGCCACCTATTCTGATGTTCGTTAGAGGTTTCTTGGGCTTTGACCCACAGCCATGTGTCCTTTCTCCCCTTTCGGAACGAACCAAAAAGTGGCCGCAGAGAGGCCCGCCGCACCTCTCTCGCTTCGTATGCCGAGCGGCCGAGGCGGCCGCGGCTGCTGTAAAGGCCACCAGATCCGGGCAGATGCCGTGGCCTCGTGGCACAGGAGCGCCCGACGCTTGCGGTCATTTGTCTTCTTTGGTCCTTGGTTGGTTTTAACGGCAAAAAACGGACACCAACCATTGGTGGGAGTGTACTTTTGGGTGTCTCTTTTTGGGGGGAACTTTCAAAGGACACCCACATTTGGCTGTGGGTCAAAAATAAGGTAACCCCAAATGGTTTGCCCTGGCAAGTGGAAACATGAACCAAAACCTGTGGAGTTTCTGGTGGTTTAATTTTGACCCATACCCATTTTTTGTCATCTCTGCTTCCGTTGCTCAGGCCAGTCTTTCATGGGATGCTTCTCCAAAACATCTATGGGTGGCTTTGGAGGAATCCGTTGCTGTCGATTGTTTGGTTTCTTTCCAGAGATTGAAAACTCCTCTGGAACCAAGCTGACCACATGCGTCCCGCGACACGTCCCTCAGGATTCGGGTCCGCCCAGGACTGGGGCTCAAGGCGCGGCATCTCTTCGAACAACAGCCAAACGGCTTTGGCCTAATCGGCTCGTGGCTCGTGGCTCGTGGCTCGCACTTTTCAGCGACATTTCGCCATCTGACAGTCACCAACTCGCGCAAAGTGAAGAAAGTAAAGCCCCTCTTGGCTGCAAAAAGGGGAGTGAGAGAGAGAGAGAGACAGAGAGAGAGAAAGGAGAAAAAAACGCCCCATGAGAGACCAATGGCGCTA